TGGATGCAAACAAAGAGAAGACTGGTACGCACACCCACACCCCACACCCCACACCCACACACCACACCCCACACCCACACCCCACACCCCACACCCACACCCACGTGCGATGTCTTTGCGATTCAAGAAGTCATCGACCTGATATTGTTGACTTGCTCAAACATTATGCACCACCAACATCGATGGTGGCATGAAGAAATTATGAAGATATTACCATTCGATTATAAAATTTGTTACTCATTTGTAAAAATTTTTCAAATAAAATTGAAAAATATGATTTCAATTACTAAAGAGAAAATGTCCTTCGATATTTTTCATTTCAAATATCAAGAGAATTTTTTTCTAGTCAATCTTTAGTTAGAAAGTCATGAACGTAAAGAATTTTGAAATGTTATTGGTGGGTAGGGGTGGATGTCGTTCTTGTTTCATCGGTGTCCACACTCGCATCTATATCTTCACCCTGATCGATAACTATCTGACGATTTAGGACATCGTATAAATAGATGCCGATTGATGAGTAATTGTTTTCTTGGTCAAATAGTGACTGATCGTCTACAACACGAACGAGAACCAAATCCGTATGTGAACGTGCTATTTCTATACATATCAATCATTAGCGATATCTTCATCCAATTATACTATTGTTTGGATTTAGATTGATCGGTGCTGCTCATACAAAATTAGATGAACATTCTACAGACTGTCCTACAGCTTTACCAATATTCTTGGAATGCCGACCGAAGTATTTGTGTTTTGTTCCGATGACTGACGAACAAGTTCGCATCGGTGATGCTAATATAACTTCGATAGAGAGAAACTTTTTAGCTAAATATCAAGGTTCAATATCAATAGAAGAAACAGAAAGAAGTTCATATCTACGTGATATGGAATTAGTACGATGATGTGTCAATCATCTTTCATCACCTTCACTCAACTATCAATTTTGATTACAACAAAAAATTGAACAATATGATTTTTTTCGAACTCAATTAGATCGATTTGTTACACGCTTTCTTGATCTCTACAATGCTGCCATTGGTATGGGGATGGATGCCGTTCTTATTTTCATCGATATCCACAATCACACCCACACCCTAATATATGCTATAGATTATATCTAAGACAATTATCGATGGAATCGAATCAGTTGTTCTTGTAGCAGATATGCATGCATCAAGATATGTACATAAAGTAACCTTTGATGGCTCTGTCCTAATTCATAAGATATCCTTGTTCATTCGATTAGTTTTTTTGTTTTTCAAAATATTTTGCTATCTTCTGCTGAGTGAGTTCGTTTTTTGCTTTATTTGTTTTCATTCAGTATTCGGTAATTTATAAACATGCTAAGAGAAGTGTTATTGCTCACCATTACGAACTTTGAATTACATCAAATTCATTCGAACTTGGGGGGAATACGAATTTAACTAAGAAACATAACATAGCAACACTCACACACAAAAAGACTCTCCTTATATATTCTTCAAAAGAAACATCCTTCATCTGTCTCTCTCTCTCATGTGTCATGACATACCAATGTTATTAATTGTCATTTGCTTATTGTTATACTGCGCTCTTAAGTTACACTATGAAATAATGCTTTCTGACATATTCTTTTTTTTATCATCTTTGTATCTTGAGCTCAGTTTATGGAAATGTAACGAAAGACATGTGAACAAAAAAAGAATGTCATAAATTGCAATAGAAATATTTATATATTTTCTTGTTTTTCTTTGACTATGGAAAAAAAGACATATACGAACCGAGAGTATGTGATGGAACTAAGCTGAAGATCTTTACGACAACACACAGTTGCCCACACATACAGTTCACCATCATCCGACTTTCACAAAGTATTCAAAAGCATTTATATTTTCAACTCAGAAACAAATGATTGTTATGAAAAGTTCTTCTATCGGTCACAATCCTAATGATTGTGTTAGACTCTAATTTAAGCAAGTTTACCGAAAAAGATAATAAAATAAATTGTTTTGATATACAGCATGGAACTGTGTTGGAAACCATTTAAAAAAAAAATATATCAATACTTGAGCTTTGAAAAACAGTAGTATTTTTATAACCATTTGCACGAGTTATTTGAAGAAAAAATTCTTGACACACTGTTATGACTATTTTTGTCTTTCCTACTTATCGTACTAAAAAATTGTAATTCAATTATACACATGTTTCCATGCAAGCTCAGTCAATTTTGATATCCAAAACTACTCATTAAGTAGAAAAATCTCTCTTAATTTATTTTAATGACTAATGACGTATTGTTACATGCGTACGATTTTTGTATCAATCGTAATCAACTATTAGAATATAACATAAATAGTGCACAGATTCAAAACGAAAATAAGGATAACAATAGACTAATGAAGCGTAACAAGAAGCAGCATTAATAAATACCCATGTCTTTCATCCCGGCAATTTCCCGCCGGGATCCCGCGAGATCCCGTCCGGGATCCTGTGCGGGATCCCGCGGGATCCTGCAAGATCCCGACAATTCCGCGAAAAATGCCGGGATTCCGACTGAAATTACTGTTATATTATTGCCATAAGAAACAAAAAATAGTCGATCAATTCTCAACTTCATCCGTTTTTTTTGTTTTTTTTTGCCATATTGTTAAATTTGAGTACTGTATTATCGTGTTGAACCCATTTTATTATCGACTAATTTTGATATTTTTTTGTGTGTTCAAAATGTATAATAAGCGAGAAAATCAAGAAATAAGAAAAGTAAAAAAAGAGTTTTATGATATTAATGATATAAGAATAGTAAAAATATAAAAAATAAATTAGATGA